TTTATTTGTGTATTAAATATTGCTACCATTGGCTTGCCATAATCACCTGTGGAATGCACTGAGTTATTAACATCTCGGGCTCTCGCATTTCTCCTTCACAAAATGCTCGTAATATTGGTGTGATTTTTGATGAAGTCCTTTCATTTTGATGACCACATACTCTCTGTATGCAAAACATGTTTCTTTTCCGTATCCATAATCTTTGGGAAATTCGAAGGTACTTTAGTCAAAATGCTTGTATAACTCTTGTTCAATGCTTCATTACTTCAAAGCAATTRATTTTTGTAATTCTTTGTTATATGGACTTCCCAAGGGCTTTCTCAAAAAGCTACAGCATGGCCCAAAATGCTGCTGCAAGACTTGTAACCTTTTCTCAGAAGCAAGATCATATTACCCCAATCTTGCACAATCTACGCTGGCTGCCAGTGGAACAACTACGTCGAATTGCTTTTAAGGCCTTACATTTACAGACCTTAGCGCCCATATATCTATGTGACTTGGTTGAACCCTATGTTCCCTCTCGCTSCTTAAGATCATCCTCTTGAAATCTTTTTAACAAGACCATCTTATAAGCTCAAATCCTAATGGCAAAATARAGAAATAGAAAACGCGCGCGCGTGCAGTCATAAAGCACGCGGGGGTTGGCAGAACACGGGAGAATTAAGTGTTAGGAGACTTYTGTCTGGACACTTCTCGAGTGTTCTGCCAATCCCCAAGTGCATTACACAGTACAGCAAGCAAGTTTTTTWATTTCTTTTATAAAATACAAATTACAATAACCGTTATTTTAGATAGGAATGACGCAACGGAAAGTGCGCGGCGCGCGTGCAATGTGCTCTCATAAAGCACGCGCTCCAAAGCAGTCAGAACGCGACATTCATAACAGTTATTTTATAACGACTGTTGGTATTTTACTGGGCCCGGTTGTACGAAGCCTGGATAGCGCTATCCGGCGGATAAATCCTTATCCAGTGGATGCTGTTTTCCAATACATTTATCCACTGGATAAGATTTATCTGTTGGATAGCGCTATCCAGGCTTCGTGCGACCGCCGGGCCCAGAAGTCTTAGAATCATAAACTTTTTCTACATACCAATTCGTTGTGGTGGTTGTGGTGCAATGTTTTCCAATTACAGCCGACCGTGTGTCGACATTCCCTTGAGAATAAGTTTATTATTATTGATTATTTTCCTATGTGTATTTAGTTTAGATCATTTTAAACATCATTAACTTATAGGATTAACAGCGTTTTCTTTTACTTTTTCTTTT